TGGACCCACATGTTGAGAACCATGTAGTAGAGCTGAAGTAGGTCAACTTTATTTTGGATTTGTGAGTTGAGTTATTGCAGGGGATGGAATGAGACAGCAAGTGGTAAAATAAGCAAAATGATAAAAGTGGAGCCACAAGGTGAAACTTACACAAACCATTATCAGTTGGTATAATTAGAGAACTGCTTTTTAGTAATAGTGGATTTAAGGTATATATTGGAGTTGGGAGGGGGGTTGTCGAGGAATCAGGAAATTGGATTCTTCTCTGGGAGAAAACTGATAGGATAGCAAAGGCTCCCTTTTGCAAAATGCTCAGTGATGCAATCCCTGCCTTGAAAAATTTCTTGTCTAAACTAATTCAGCCATGATTTTGCTTTGCCTCAGCTGGAAGGTGGCAGCTGGTATTAAGGAACTGCTTGGCAGACGCACGATTTTTACAAAGAAGCTTTGCTTACTTCAGCAAACATACTGTGCTGGTTTCCTTGGCTGTATCTCAATGTGATTAGTTACGTGCAAGGAATGCAGGGCAAGGAGCATGAATTACTGATATGCCTTCCTTTTTCCTGGCCAATGGATTACAAATGTCTGAGGAGCCTCAGGGCATTTTGTACTAAAGAAAGAACAGCTAGAACCAAACCTTCAATAAATGATGAATACATACCAGCAGGGATGGTATAGAACAGTATAGTAAACCAGGTAAGTAGGCCGCTTTCCACATATCATGTAATGAAGAGGGAGAATCAAATGAGTAATTGAGTAGTCTTTGTTCGATAAATGAGAGGGAATGGAAAAGTAAGTAACACAATATTGGGGTATATCATAGCTGTTCCCGCAGATTATTTGAGACAGGATTTGCATTTAATTTGATCCTCCAGTAATAGCATAGTATAAGCAGTAGGAAAATCCAGGTAGGACTCAAGTGACAAGCCCTGAGGCTGAGGCTTTACCAATGTGATCTCTATCGCTGGTACAATATTATATGGCAAGAAAGGTCAAGAATATCAGTTGAATACCTTTCATCTGGTGCCTTTGTGCATATATTAAAGTTACACAGAGCACTTCCATCATAAAAGTACCTCACTAAGCCAGATAATCTACCCAAGTTGCAGAAAGATACAAATTAAATGATGTTGATTGAATGTATTTGGGAGCATTCTCACTTAAGTATAAATTGAGTTTAGTTTCTTGGCATTCTTTGGAACCATAGATGTAGTCTAACTGGCAATAAATATGTTCCCAAAGGTTCAGAACATCTATCTAGTCTAGAGGAATACTTATTTACATGTACTAGGGAGCAAGTATGGCCCAACATTTCCAAACATAAGCAGAATCACTTAATATATTACAAAGGAATATTAACAGGGCTGAAATGTACAACATCCAGATGATTCAAAATACCGTTTCAGAAAATAAGCAAGTCTGGGATTTTACATGATGGTTCCAACAGTGTGATTTTGCTGCCTATTACCTGCTTACAATATCACCTTTCAATTTTTATAAAACCAAAAAGCAACCATTACTTTGCTTTTCTTTATTTTCTTGATATTTAATGAAAACTATGTGTAAAAATTAATATTTTCAATATTTTTTCATCGTATATAATATTTAATTGCCAATTGCAGTTTTTAATCTAGGAAAATGTACAAACACTATCTTAGCTAAGTAACAGTATTATTTCCATGAGAGGAGAGAGTGTAGAGGCTTCTGGCAAAATTCTTGAGAGCAATCATTTCAGCACTGCGGTTGAATACTATTTTAATTGGCATTAATAAAAGCATTACTCTAGTCCCACAGAAAGTAGTGATAGCTTAATATAAGCAGCATCACATACATTTAACCTGTTATTCCTAGGATCATGGACTTGAATTCACTCAGTAGTGCCTGCCAATGTTTGTCAGTGATTTATGATTCTTGATGTAATTGGAAAAGTTCTCAGCAACTCTTTGGTAAGAGTGACGTCCGCAAGAATTGACTTGGTAGGGAAATAAGGAGAAAGTGGCACCAGTCTTTTCCATGCACAAATACTATTTGACACACACGTTTTGCATCTCTGAAGGTGCAATTCTTAGATAAATCCAATTCCAAAAAAAGGGCTTAGTAAGGATAATTTTGAAAAGATAGGTTGAGGGACATAAACAGCCTCTATTCAGAGCTCTTCAGTATTCCTTGGTTGTTGTTGTTCATTCGTTCAGTCGTCTCCGACTCTTCGTGACCTCATGGACCAGCCCACGCCAGAGCTCCCTGTCGGCCGTCACCACCCCCAGCTCCTTCAAGGTCAGTCCAGTCACTTCAAGGATGCCATCCATCCATCTTGCCCTTGGTCGGCCCCTCTTCCTTTTGCCTTCCATTTCCCCAGCATAATTGTCTTCTCTAGGCTTTCCTGTCTCCTCATGATGTGGCCAAAGTACTTCAACTTTGTCTCTAGTATCCTTCCTTCCAATGAGCAGCCGGGCTTTATTTCCTGGAGGATGGACTGGTTGGATCTTCTCGCAGTCCAAGGCACTCTCAGAACTTTCCTCCAACACCACAGCTCAAAAGCATCGATCTTCTTTCGCTCAGCCTTCCCTAAGGTCCAGCTCTCACATCCGTAGGTTACTACAGGGAATACCATGGCTTTGACTAGGCGGATCTTTGTTGCCAGTCTGATGTCTCTACTCTTTACTATTTTATCGAGACTGGACATTGCTCTCCTCCCAAGAAGTAAGCGTCTTCTGATTTCCTGGCCACAGTCTGCATTTGCAGTAATCTTTGCACCTAGAAATACAAAGTCTGTCACGGCCTCCACATTTTCTCCCTCTATTTTCCAGTTGTCAATCATTCTTGTTGCCATAATCTTGGTTTTTTTGATGTTTAGCTGCAACCCGGCTTTTGCGCTTTCTTCTTTCACCTTGATTAGAAGGCTCCTCAGCTCCTCCTCGCTTTCGGCCATCAGAGTGGTGTCATCTGCATATCTGAGATTGTTAATGTTTCTTCCAGCAATTTTCACCCCAGCTTTGCATTCATCAAGCCCCGCACATCGCATGATGTGTTCTGCATACAAGTTAAAAAGGTTGGGTGAGAGTATGCAGCCTTGCCGTACACCTTTCCCAATCTTGAACAGTCCTTGGTAGACATCTGCAAACATTTTATCTTCAGAGGAAGCCCAAGACATTTTGGTGCTTGAACTGAATGAAGAACAGAATCTTTTCTCCCCCATTTTATATACAAAAACTAGACGGACACTTGAATTCTATAGTGCAAATGATAATGTCTTCCAGTGCAGAGGGAAGGAGATTATATTGGGGGCATAAGTCTGCAGGTGGGCCATGAGGAACAGAAAACTCTGCTCTTCATCCCTTGGCATGTGCTGCCTGAGAAGGCCATCTTATTTTGCCAAATGGTAGGGCTGGAAAGTGACAACTTGCAGCACCACCTACTAGCACATTTATGGACTTTGTGAATTTATTCATACTGTGCATCGTAAAGATAAGAACACTAGAACTATTAACTTTTCTTGGGTGTATCAGAAGATAACTTCATGTCCACGTCAACTGAGTTTTTTTTTTTTTGAAGACAGAGTTTAGGATATATGAATTCATCCTGCACCATCCTGTACTTGCAGATGTACTTGGGATCACTACTATATTTGGACCCACCGACTACAACTGTTTCTTTTCTGGAAACTAACTAAAGATTAGCAGCCAATGGCTAATGGACTGGCACTGGTCTAGGGAATACTAACATTATGTATGCCACATACGTAATAAAACTTTTTAAAAATACCTTTCCTCTCCCAGTTGAAATCGCGACATTGTATACACCCGCAACTTCTGGTGTAATTATTAACCAATAATGTTAATGTAGGAAAATTTCCCACACAGACATGCTTCACTGTAGGGCAGTATTTCAAGTTACGGTAGAGTTGGAAGAGACCACAAAGTCATGCAATCCAATCTGCTGCCATGCAGGAATATATGTGTTACTTTAATGGCAGCCTTATATATATTATGTTATCACATATTTTAGGGGGCAATTACTGTGCACACTCAATTTAACATTTAATGAATGTTATTTGCTTTTAGTATACATATTATATTGAAACTGAGAAATTCATCTGAAAAAGTTTGGAAACCTAAACAGGATAAACTTTAAGATTGATATTCATGAAACATAAACCAAATGATAGGATTTACGCTTTATTTATACTAGCTTTAAAAGTGGAAACAAGTGGTTTCTTTATTGAATTATTGTTCTGTGGTAGATAAGAACTATTGATTCCTGCAGAGAAACTTCCACTCTCCTCTGAATACTGACCAGTATTTGATGAGATTTCTAATAAATGTTGGGAAACAAGTGTTTTTTCTTGCTACATAAACCCCAATTTATTTATTTTTTCTATTCATTGTGAAGTACTAAACTCATTAAAATAACGGAGTGGGGAAGTGGCTGTGAGAAAACATGAGCAAGTGTAAAAAATGAATTTGATTTTGACTGTCGTGGAACCCATGTTGTATACAAAGGACTAGTCCAGTTAACAGGAACCTTGGTGTTCAGTGCATAAAAAGGAGTGGTCCGACAGTTGTAAAAGCAGATTTCTACAGTCAGTGACAGCCAAAGCTAAAGCTTAAATATGATGTTCTGTAGTGGAGGTTTCCAGAAGTTTAAGCTGGGGAAGGTAAAACAAACTTCTCACTGAATCCTAGGTTGTCATATGACAAAAAAGAAACCAGACCAAAAAATAGTCAGTCTCAACACAAGACATGGTACTTAGTGTGCTATTCAAAGACTGATTTAAATACTTCCAGTCTGGTGAACATGGAAAGGTTTTCTTGTCGTGGTGAGAAAGGAAGGTGGTCATCTGCCATGTCCTGCCTCAATCAAAGTCCAAGGTTGCTCACGAGACAGGAAGCAGCTTGGGCAAAGGGATTTACCAACAGTTTTGATTAGGTTTTAAAACAGAACAGCAAGGAGTCCTCTGCTGTCCTTAATTTACAAAAGTAGGGTCAAATGGAAGAGATTGCTCAGAACCAACATCCATTTAATTTAATTCTTCTCTCAGCAAAAGAGAGGATTACATGTACACTAGTTAAAAAGACAAGAGCAAGCACGAAAGGTATGGAGGAAAGGCCTGGGCAATCCCAGCTAAATGTGAATGGGCCAGGAGAAAGGCTCTGCCTCACCCAATCCAGCAGAGGCTGGACAAACACAGTTCCTGTGAAGCATGCTGAGAACCTGCAGCTCTCACTGCCAAGATGAGGTTTGCAGACAGAACCAAGTCCTGCCTCTGTTCCTTCTTCTTTCTTCCCTGGTAACAGCAGCAGAGTATATGACCCATGTAGAGGCAGGGAGAACACCAGAGTCTGTAAGGCTACGAGATCAGCGCAGCAACAGGTCTGGTAGTTGCATTCAGAACAGAGACAAATGGAATGTCTCTGGGAACTCTTTGAAAAGGTTCCAAATTGTCCAGTATACCTGTGAATGATAAAAGCAACAGTGTGGGTCAGTACTAAACAATATCTGTTATTAGTTCATAACACATCTCGTTTTATTTGAGTCATTTGCCATCTCAGTATTTGCAGACATATGCATTTTGTCCTTTGCATGTTATTCCCTTGACTTCATAAGTGTTGACTTTGCATTATTAACACAGTAGGTCACAGAATTATGTGGAAATGCTGAGCAGCCAGGTTCTGGAATCAGGCTTTAACTTTTCATAACAGATAAAATTAGAAAGGTCTGGAGGAGGGGCATAGGAGTATCAATTCACCCCAACCAAGCAGAGGGTGTGAAAAGGAGAGAGCTTAAAGGCTAAATAATGGAAAGCTTTAACTCTGTTTCTCAACTGGGGGGGTTAGGACCCCTGGGGGGTTGCGAGTGGTTCTAAAGTATTTTCTGTTGGTCATGGGGGTTCTGAGTGGGAAGTTTGACCCAATTCTATTGGCGGCGGTGGGGGGGGGGGGTTCAGAATGCTCTTTGATTGTAGGTGAACTATAAATCCCAGAAACTACAACTCCCAAATGTCAATGTTTATTTTCCCCAAACTCCACCAGTGTTCAAATTTGGGCATATTGAGTATTTGTGCCAAGTTTGGTCCGGATTCATCATTGTTTGAGTCCACAGTGCTCCCTGGATGAACTACAATTCCAAAACTCAAGGTCAATGCCCACCAAACCCTTCCAGTATTTTTTGTTGGTCTTGGGAGTTCTGTGTGCCAAGTTTGGTTCAATTCCATCATTGGTGGAATTTAGAATGCTTTTTTATTGTAGGTGAGCTATAAATCCCAGCAGCTACAACTTCCAAATGACAAAATCAACCCCCCCCCCCCCCAACCCCACTAGTATTCAGATTTGGGAGTATTGGGTATTTGTGCCAAATTTGGTCTAGTGAATGAAAATACATCCTTCATAACAGATATTTACATCACAATTCATAATGGTAGCAAAATTACAGTTATGAAGTAGCAACAAACGTAATTTTATTGTTAGCGATCCCAACAACATGAGGAACTGTATTAAGGGGTCACGCCATTAGGAAAGTTGGAATAAAAACAGTGCTAGAACAGGATGGTGGTGTGGAAATAGTGGGAATTATGATAGCTGGGCTGCATGACCTAATTTTCAGCTGTGAATTGAGCAACATATCTAGTCTTGAAAACCTTTGTCTCAACACATTAAAAAAGCAGAGGAAATTGAATGAAGAATGTGTGACCCTCCATTCCTTCTCTTACCTTTTACAACTTTATGATAAGCAAAGTGCAGATAGAGGAGGAAGAGCATGTGCAGGGCAGCAAGTACTCCGCACAGGATGAGTCGCTGGGTATATCCCACTGTGCGTGACACCAACACAGCAATCTAGGAAAGACCAAATCTTAAGGTTCACAGACTGGCTTTAAAGCATAAATGCACTGAGATGAGTTGATCCCTTTCAGTCAGAGTAACTACCTCTGGAAGGGAATCCATTGCTAAACTGTATTGGATGTGGTTTAGTTTCTCATGAATGGCTTTTTCAGCCTTTCATTCCCCTTCTCTCTAATGACAGGTTTCTATCATCAGCTATAACTATACTCTCAAGGTACGATTAGAGTTAGAGTATTTAAATTAGATTTTGTGCTGAATATAACAAAGCTGAGGAAGTGGTTACCACTGGGTAGTGACAAAATATAAGGATGATGTACTGTACACCATTAGCAGAGGACTTTGGAAGATCATGAAATATTTCATTTATAACAATTTTATTTATTTATTACCCACTTCTGTATCCAAATTTACAATTAAAGTAGTAAATTTCATTTTACCACATAATTCTTTATCTATTTTATTTTAATTTTTAATGGAAACCACTCTGGGTCCCATATTATTAGAAAGGCAGGCTATAAATCTAACAAATCAAATATATATTTACCATCCTTAGTGTAGAAAGGCCGCCAATCCCCAGCCAGAAGATATAAAAAAGGGAGTGAAAGTGGATGTTGTAAGTGATAAAGAGAGTAATGCAATGCCCAAAAAGTCCATAGCCCTGAAAGGAAAAGATCATACAGAATTTTAGTGTGTGAAAATGCTCAGACAGAAGCAGCTGCAATATTAATTGTACCAAATGCTTCCTTGAAAACAGCCTTAAGCTGCAATAGCTTAAGCGTAGTTAGTGAGCTGAAGCTAAATGTCCTATTTTTGTCTACCAACTATAGTCATTAGAAGAATGTCAGATTCTGCCTGAGGCATATCTAGCTCAATTAGCAATTCAACCACCCACCCAGACCTGTGGAAACGAATTAATTTCTGTTTGGAAGTTAACAAGAATTGCCTGGTTTCCCTGCCATTTCCTCCTCCCTTCCCCAACATGGCTTACAAGAACAAAAGAACACGTTGCCATTGTAGATTCAGGTCAACCCTATCCCTACAACTATGATAGTTCTTAGTTATGAGAAGATCAGCCACTTATCATACCAACAGGTAATGCTGAGAGCTGTAGTACAAAATAGCTGGAGGGTGCTAAGTTGGAAAGAGCTGAGCAGCTGGGAAGTTTACTCACCAGTAGTGACAACATTTGCACCATGGTAATCTGAGCATTGCACAAGTATGCCAAGAAGTAAATGAAGGAGGAGACGCCTATCCAGTAACCAAAACAAGTGCCAATTGCTGTGCCCATCAATGTCCCTTCCCTCTGCATAAAAAGAAACAGATAAGAGAACTTACAAGAAGGTAAAACTTAGAAATTAAGTTATCAAACAGTATCACCCATAGAGGGTCCAATGTAAAATATGCAGTAGGCCATGTATGGGCAAACCCAGGCCGGGGGCCGGATGCAGCTCCTCGAGCTCTTTTCTCAGGCCCTCCTCTCTCTCACCATCCTATTCTTCCTTCCTTCCTTTTTTCTTTCTCCTTTCCTCCCTCCCCCTTTTTACCTCTCTCTTTCTCCTTCCATCCATCCTTTCCTTCCTCCCTCCTTCCCCCTCTTTCTCCTCCCTCCCTTTTGCCTTCCCTTCCTTCTCTCTTTTCTTCCTCCCTTTCCCTCCCTTTCCACCCTTCCTTCCTTTCCAGCCTTCTCTTCCTCCCTCTCGCCCTCCTCTTTTTTCTTCCTCCTTTCCTGGGGAATGTTTAGTTGGGAGAAGAAAAGGTTGAGAGGGAACACGAGAACCATGTTTCAAGATTTAAAAGGGTGTCCCATTGTGGAGGAGGAGAGGGAAAACTGACTGCTGCTCAGAACTTCCTGAGAGTAAGAGCTGTCGGAGAGTGGCATAGGTTGCCTGGGAGTATGGTGGAGTCTTTTTCTCTGGAGGCTTTTCCAAAGAGGCTTTTTGTGTGGCAGGGGGTTGGACTGGATGGCCCCTGGGGGTCTCTTCTAGCTCTAGGATTCCAGAATTCTTTATCAGGAGAAGGCAATATGGGGACTAATGGATACACTTTTTCTCTCCCGTCCACCATCTCATCCTGATGAAGGCCAACCCTTTTGGGATCCAAACGTTTCCGGTCTTTGCTTTACTTTTTGCCTCCGAAAAAGAAGAGGAAGGGGAGAAAAGGGCAAGGAGGGGGCTTGGGGTGAACCCCCTCCCTCCCGGCCCACCCACCCACCCACCCCACTTTGGCATGCCATGCAGCCCCCAAGTCAGAAAGTTTGCTCATGCCTGCAGTAAGTATTACAAGCACCTCAGAAACACAACCTCCTGTAATCCGGGAGCATTCATAATACCTCAACATCTCTCCCGGCCCCTGAAAGCTCAAGGCCAAAATAGGCCTCTGGGTAGTTGTTTGTCTGGAAAACAAGATGCACTACTTACAATAATTGTATCTGATGTCTTCATTCCATGCAGCAATATGGCAACCAGCGTGAAGACCAGCATGAGGGGACCATAAAGCTCGCCCGCTATTTTCTATAAATGAGAAAATGAATAACTGTTATTGGTCAGCATTTTAGGAAGTCCATCCAATAAATTATGAAGAGTGCTATAAAAGCTGGGAGGAGAAAGCACAGTCTATGCTGCCCCCACCCCCAAATTTACTGTGACTCCTTAAGTCCTTGAACACCTCCAATTTAATTACACCCCAAGCTTTCATTCTTTGTCATTTTTTATCCAAGGAATGGGAAACAAATAATTTCTGTTCACATCTGAGTTGTGTTTGTGCTCTGTTTGGGACTAAAATGTGGAAGTCTGACTTTTTGGGGGAAAGCATCTATAGTCCATTCTCAGTTGCCCACCTTTCTTAAAAGAACTAACAAGAGAAACCAGTTGTGCAATTTCACAACAGCAAATTATTACTCATCCTTTTCTCATAAAAGACTGCTCAATTATCACACATGATATGGAAACTCATGACATACAGTAGGTTACTCATGAGCACAATTTCTGAACATCCTTTATGTTCAATTTTGCTGATGCTATGGCATCAGATTCAGTGGCTGACGGAGCTGCAGTCCCTGGATTTTTGGGCTCTTCCCCATGGCCTCTGGAATTCATCATCACAAGCAGCCACAACAACAAGTTTTGCATGTTTTCATGGACCTTGAAATTCAGATTTGTTAAAGGTAGGCTAGCTCCTCCTGGAAATCAAATGCAGTCAGCCAACCCAGATGCAACCAAATGCACTGTGACATCAGAAGAGTTGGCATCAGAAAAATGGACGAAGTCAATAGAGAAAATGGGGAATGGAAAAGAAATAGTGAGAAAGGAAATGAAAGCATTTTTAAAAATATAACAGTATTCACCATTCAGTGAACTGATATGATCTTTGCTAAAAACGATTAACCATAAACTGATGAAGAGAAATTAGAATATTTATTTATTTATTTCTTATACTTGTATACCGCCGTTTCTCAGCCTGACCGGCGACTCAACGCGGTTTACAACAAGATAAAATCCACAACAATATACAATGTAAAACCACAAAGGCATAAAATACAATATTAATGTAACAATAAACAACACCATACATCTCATAACTAAAATCATGATCCAGTTCGTCGTCAGATTTTCCAATTCCTGTAATCATCACATTGGTTGCACTGTTTAACCGAATGCTCGTTCAAACATCCAGGTTTTTAATCTTCTACGAAACACCATCCGCGAGGGGGCTGATCTTACCTCCATGGGGAGGGCGTTCCGCAGCCGGGGGGCCACCACAGAAAAGGCCCTGTCTCTCGTCCCCGCCAGCCGCACCTGTGAAGCAGGCGGGATAGAGAGCAGGGCCTCCCCAGAAGATCTGAGGGTCCTGGCGGGCTGATAGGCAGAGATACGTTCGGATAGGTAACTTGGGCCAGAACCGTTTAGGGCTTTATAGGCCAACGCCAGCACTTTGAATTGAGCCTGGTAGCAAATCGGTAGCCAGTGGAGCTGGTGCAGCAGAGGAGTTGTATGCTCCCTGCGCTCCGCTCCTGTTAGTATCATGGCTGCCGAGCGTTGGACTAGCTGGAGCTTCCGGGCCGTCTTCAAAGGCAACCCCACGTAGAGAGCGTTGCAGTAGTCTAGACGGGATGTAACCAGAGCATGGACTACTGTGGCCAAGTCAGACTTCCCAAGGCACGGGCGCAGTTGGCGCATGAGTTTTAGCTGTGCGAATGCTCCCCTGGTCACCGCCGAAACCTGAGGTTCCAGGCTCAGCTGTGAGTCCAGGATCACACCCAAACTGCGAACCTGCGAATACATGGCACGGAAGCAAAGGGGATACACAAGAACTGGACTGCTGTTTTTATTTTATTTTACTTAAAGCATTTATATTCTGCCCTTCTCACCTGGAAGGGGACTCAGGGCAGAGCACAACATAAATACAGAAAACATTCAATGCCAGAATAAAAACAAACTATAAATATACACAAACATTAAAATCAGTTGTATCAACTTTAAAATCAAATTGTTAAAAACCATCTAAAACTAGCCATGAGATGGGATTCTATCAAAGTAATTTATAAACAGTAATTTATAAACAGTAATTTATAAACCTTTGTGCATCCATGATGAAAGACACATAGGATACTGCTCTGTTCATCAGCTTCACAGCAGTGGGAAATGAATTGCAATATAACCCTGACAGACCAACCCCACAAATTCATTGTTCATTAGACACTGCCTCCTCCATAACGTTAAGGAAAACTTCAACCTAGTTTCTAGCATACTAGCTCACCTGGGGAAAATTAATCATCTTCACAGGTATCATGGATTCCAGCAACCTATAAAAGAACAAGATGTACAGAACACTTCTAATTGGCATGAAAAGGGATTTGGATCTTTTAGATAACCATATATATATATATATATATAAAATTATGTGCATGTATCAGACATAAAAATGGGTATGTGCAAACCAACCAACAACTCGATGCTATATTATTAGAAACTGAGTGTAAAAATCTTCACAGTTTATTATCTATAATAAAAACAATTCTGCTAAATTATAGACAAGAAGTCTTTCTGGGGAAGGTGAGAGCGGTTACTGAATTCAACAGGAATTCTGTCTGCTCCGTGTAAATAAATTATTCTAGAGTAGAATTTCTTATTTTTCTGCTATAGCCAACAAACTAGTCATAGAAGTTGCAGGGGACAGAAAGGAAGCTTAACAAGAGTTTGTCAATGTATAAAGACAGATTAATAGAACTCTGATGTGTGCTCAAAAAGAATCGCTCAACTGACATTTTATGGCTCAGTTCTGGTTCATGCAAAGGATTGGAAATGTTTGTCGTTATCCAAATAACGTACAACCAGGAGAAAGAAGTCTTGATTACCTCCCACAAAGCAATGTGATTTTGTTCTTAGAATCTGAATATTACTTAAGAGAAGAACAGAGATGTTGGGTGGCAGATCATTTCCATACCAGATTAAGCTGTTATTACATATTAATAGAACTTCCTTTATAAAGGAGGAGTTGTGGTAGGCTAGAGAAGCTAGAGATGTGGGAGGTACAATACGCCCAGTTTGCTTACCGGTTCCGAACTTGGTTTGGCTCCACATCAAAGTAGGGCCTGAGGATATCTATGTTGGCATATAGATTGAAGGCTTTCGAGGCTTGTCTTTTTCCTGCCTGCCACATCTGGGGAATGCAGGGGGAAGGGGGATTGAGAAAGAAAGAGAAACAGCAAACAGAGACCTTGTTTTTCAATGCTATAGAGTTAAATGATTGGTTTATTAAATTACCATAGATGTAGAAATATAGTTGAAAAGTGTGTCACTTGAACCCCATGTACCACCCTTATTTTGAATTAAAAATGTACTCATTATCTCTTAGGAAGAAATTTCATCAAGTTTTTGTACTCTTCCTCCCCTGGCTTTTTCACCCCCAACCATGATTAAATTGCTGGGAAACCTTTTCAATGAAGGCCACACCCAAAGTGTGTGGGTACAGCTTCCAGTACGATTCCCTCAAATGCCTTTTTTTTGACCTAAAGCTTTTCCACAGAGATTAACACTGATCTCACATTTTAGGACAGTCCTCAAACTAAGGCCTGGGGGGCGGATACAGCCCTCCAAGGTCATTTACTCGGCCCTCGCTCAGGGTCAACCTAAGTCTGAAATGACTTGAAAACACACAACAACAACAATCCTATCTCATCAGCCAAAAGCAGGCCCGCACTTCCCATTGAAATACTAGTAAGTTTATATTTGTTAAAATTGTTCTTCATTTTAATTATTGTATTGTTTTTAAGTGTTTTTGCACTACAAATAAGATATGTGCAGTGTGCATAGGAATTCATTCATGCTTTTTTTCAAATTATAATCTGGCCCTCCAACAGTTTGAGAGATTGTGACCTGGCCCTCTGTTTGAAATGTTTGAGGACCCCTGTTTTAGGACACAGAGAATCAAAGTAGGACTTCTGCAGTTGTGTCCTGTAATGTTCTCTTGCTATAAAAATAATATTAATTTGGGGAACTGATTCCAGGACAAGTTCTCCCTATAGGAAAATACTTCTTAACAGTGCAGCAAGCTCTGCCTTATTATTAATTTCTTGCTTAGAGAGTTTAAGAAGGCAGCTTTCTCAAACTGTGCTCCTCCAGGTATTTTGGACTTTGGCTCCTAGACATCCCAGCCAGTTTACTAGCTGTTAGGAACTGCGGGAGCCAAAGTCTAAAACATCTGGAGGAGCACAGTTTGAGAAACACTGGTCTAAAGCATGATTAGCCTACAGAAGGGATACCATTCTAGCTTTTTCAGTACCCCCCCCCCAAGATTTGTAGGATTTAGGGGTACAGACATCCATGAAAATGGGAAGCCTGTAGATTTAAAAAAAATCTTTTTGTACCTGACACCCTCTAGGTCACCTAATGTGATTCTGCAATCAACACGTGCCAGATGTTAACTATAGAGTTGCAGTAGAGGACCTAGGGATTCCTAAAGATACTATATATTTAATCAAAACTGATTAAACACAGCTGCTGGAACAACAGCTAGTACAGACCAGGAGTTTGAGTCTCAGGCATCTAACCTTAAAGTGGCTACCCTGACTCTGTGTATGGCATGACCTACACCAATTTAAATAACTATAAATTATCCCTCTAAATTGGGCAATAAACATGAGTCAAGACTACAATATGGAAGAAACATCAAGATACTATTTCCAAAAAATTGGAATAAATTAGAAACATGTGGGAATCAGGATTTAAAACTTTGATCCTCAGATTTGATAAAGAAAGCTGTGGTTACCTCATCAGCAACTTGCCGACTCAACTGTCCCTTAAAGCCCTTCATCCCCAAGAACTCTCCATCTTCTTCATCAGCAGCTGCTGCTTCTGCATCCACCTCTTCCTCTTCCTTCATACGTTGATGCATCTCACCCATGTCTTCAAAGCTGGAGCCAGATGTGTCATCCATGTTTTCCATGTCAATTACAGCAGAACCTCCACCCTGAGCAAGGTGGAAAGATACAGTGAGACCATGCACAAACATTTACCTTGACTCGAGAGGCAGCACAGCCATGAGAAAGAAGGCTGCAATGAATATCCTACAATAATCTCTCTCTGTAGAAAAAAAAATTACAGGCATTGATAACAATCAATGTAAACTCAATTCTTCGTACTTGTCTTTGTGTCAAATGGGAAGAGCAAGAGGAAAGCATCCTTTTTGTTGGCTTCATTCGATGTATCAGTAGATGCTGAAAATTGGGAAGAGTTTCACCATTGACAGTAAGAGTAATTAAGAGTATATTCTTAGGCTAGATGTACATTGCTATATAATCCAGATTATCTGCTTTGAACTTGATTATATGAGTCTACACAGCTGTATAATCCAGTTCAAAGCAGATAATCTGGATTTTATATGGCAGTGTAGATGGGATCCTAGTTAACTGAAACCATGGGAATATGTCCCCTGCTTCCATTCCCATCATACACAACTAGGGAGAAGGCTCAAACTTTGTTTTGTTATTTGTGCTTTGTTAACCTTCAGATGAAACTATTGTAAAATGAAAACCACAAAAGTTTCCTTAAAGTTCAGATATTCCTTCTAGTTGAGGACATTTAGATCCATTAGATCAGTGGTTCTCAACCTGTGGGTCCCCTTTTGGCCTATAACTCCCAGAAATCCCAGCCAGTTTATCAGCTGTTAGGATTTCTGGGAGCTGAAGGACAAAACTTCTGGGGACCCACAGGTTGAGAACCACTGCATTAGATAAAAATAAAAGGAAGGAAGTCCAATGACTTTGTGAACTCCTGCAAGCTGTTTTAGGTTGAGGAAAAGTAAATCAGAACTTGGGGGAAAATTCACTAGGCTCAAAAGAAGGTGAAATTGTCTCCCTAGTCTCCTGGACAGTCTTTTCACTGGAAAAAATCCTAACTTTAAAAAAACAACAACACCAAACCAGTGCACACCAGGGGTATATGCATACGGTTTCCAATATAGTCCCACAATTGCCCTCTTCTGACCTAAAGCTTTTCTATAGTGATTAATACTGTTCTCACATTTTAGGATGGGGGAGACTAAATTAGCGATTCTGTAGTTGTACCCTGCTGCTATAAGAACAAGATTACTTTGAGAATTGGAGACAGATCAATGTCCCCCATCCGCCAAAGGCTTCAAACCCTCTAGAAATGTCACATTTCTGTGCATTACCATAGGAGGTCTAAACATTTAAAACATATGTTGGCAGAGTGGAGTTCTGGGATGGTTTGCAGCACAAAACTCCTCTTTCCACCCCACAAAAACCACTTATCCCATCAATGTTTTGTGACAAGAGGTTTCTGGGAATGTGTGCTGAAGCAAGAGATCTTACTCCTGATTTCAAATTGAAACCATTTTATGGATCTGAGAACAAACATTAGAGGCAGGCCTTCTATTTTCAAGACCGTTACAAACTAGTGTCAAAACAATGCCTTTAGACAAACATAGTATCAAACCCAAATGGCTTGCTTGAAGTTGTGGGAAATCTTTGTTTTTCCAGATACACTGGACTGTCATCCCCACAATATCTTGAAGGGCAAGGTAGATCAGAGATTAACCCAAACCAGACTGACAGTCAAAAGTTTCTTGCTTCATAGCGAGCGTATATTTCTACAATAAATAACCTTTCAGATGGAAGAGATATTTCTACAGCCTATAGTGCTATGGAGACAGGAAGGTTAGTTAAGTTAGATCATGGAACTAGTGATTATTTAAGATTATTATAAATTCATGATATAACTAAAATTGTATGGAATTGAATAAAGTCTATTGAAATGGAAGCTATGAAACATGCATAAGATCAAGTTGGACAGGCAGAACACACTGCCATTTGAAGACCTAGGGTCAAACGGATAATCAAAACATTCAATTAGTTAACTCAAGAATTTTGGCAGAAAAAACCTAATAATCTTTTCTATTTGTACTAGAAAAATTATTGTTTATGGGATAACAATATGTGGAATCCTTTTAATTCATGAATCTGTCCAATTCTGTGTGTAATTCGATGACTTCAACATACAACTGCAAAAAGAGACCATTTAAAGAGGAAGCCCTTTTCCAAAATGGGAGAAAATTTAAAAGACTAAATAAAAGGTATCATCCACATGAGTCAGAAAGTAGCACTTGCACATGTGTCTTCCATAGCTGTTGCAATTGCAGGGCTTTTTCAGTTGTTTGTGTAATCAAAGCTGACAAGGCAATAGTTCCACAACAATAACTAAATCTGTGCCTAAAGAAGAAAGCCTGGAGCAAGTGCATGCCATTGGAAAGGTCAGCCACACAAATGTCATTGCAGAGAAGCTGTATTGACAACTCAAATCCGACAATATTACTCAAATTTAACATTTCTGTAGTTTTATCTTACAAGTATATTACAGGCATGAATAAGGAGAACTAAATCAGCCTTATGATGTTTTCATAATTTGAACCAATACTGACATCACTTCAAAGTTCCTGTTAATAATGGGTACATCTCAACTGTAGTTAATGCAATTTGACACCAATGTAATTGCTGTGGCTCACTTCAATAGAAATCTGGGAGTCGTAGTTTGGTGAGGCATCAACACTATTCAGCAGAGACCTTTTAAAACTCCAGTTCCCAGAATTCCATAGCATTAAGGCATGGCAGTTAAAGTAGTGTCAAGCTACATTTAATTGTTGCATTGGAGATACATTTAATATTATAAATAGAAATACCACTAATAATAAAAATTAGTGCAATCTATCCAGAGATCAGCACTGAGGCTCATCCCTTTAGTATCTCGAATAAAGCTTTCCAAAATGAGTGTCATGATATATTATAGTGTCTTGGTTGCAGTGTGTAGGTGTGTTATGTGAATGTAATGAGAAACCTCTGAGTATGTAAAGTAAGCATAATGATATATATTTAAAACTATATGGTTATAAAAGGATGGTTTAAACTCTGGTTTTCCAGTGAAACTGAATTACTGCCACAAAATGATGCATGCTCCAATTCTGTGGAACTCATTGCTTCCATACATTAGAGCAATGTCGGAGTTGCGACCTTTTGTAAAGGCACTCAAGACTTGGCTGTTTGGTTGTACATCAGATCTAATTTGCCAAATAGTCACTGTTGAATGTTTTTATGTTGAATGTTTTTATATTGTGTAAATGCTATTTTAGATCGTAAGTCACTCGGAGCACCTTGGTGGAGAGTGACTAATTAAGAAATAAAGTGAAGTAAAGTCTAAAAAGTGTGTCACCATGAAATGTTTGGAAAGCTCTGCTCTAGAGCTTCCTTCGGCAACAACCCCTTTGGATCTCTTCTTTCAAAAACTACATTCTATTTATTTGTTATGTTTATTTCTCTCTCACTCTCCTTGATATTTTAAAAATGTACCATATTCACCCGAGTATAATGGGTCGTTCAATCTAATGCACATTTCAATTTTAGCTATGTAACTTAGCCAAAAAAGACGAGCATTAGACTTGGGCAAATAATGTACAATACAGCTATCATTACATTAAAAACACCAGATTTGGGGTTGGCCAAATGAACAGACAGTTACCAGGAGGCATTTCCATAAGTTAGCACTTAGAACTACTTGGAACAGGACACTGCTATTATTACCCGTATGTACTCGAGTGTAATGCACCATTGAATCTAACGAACACATCAATTTGGACTATATAGACAATTTAGTCCCCAAAAGGGGGAGCATTAGACTCAAGTAAATATGGCATTGACTAATACATTTTAGGGGCATCCAAAGGAGTAGCTTCCAAAAGGAACTCCAGCAGGTTTCGAAGCAAAGAAATTACCTCTCACTGGGTGGTTATCTACTAGAAGGCTCACTCCTAACTAAGCCAACTAAATAGGTACATTCTCAAACAATCTCTCCTACATTGTTCTACATGACAGGACCTGATCCCAGATTATTTGCTTATCACAAATCATCTGGCAATGGAGACTCATATAATCCAGTTCAACCTGGGGTCAGATTCTGGAATATAAGGACAGTGTAGAAGGGACCTTACTAAACAGGGGCTTTTCCTGCCTGACGTTTTTGAAGCAGAGTTGGAGTCCAAAACACCTGGAAGGGAGGGCCAAATTTGCCCCTGCCTGGTCTCTGGGCTGAATCCAATGCCGAAAGGTACCTGCATGTTGTCCTCGAAGGCCCCCCACTCGGCCACAGGCCCAGCCCTGGCTCCTCCAGCCGCCGACCCCGAGGGGACGCCGCCGGATCCGGACATCTTCCCTCCGGCTGCGAGGGAGCCAACGCTCCCGCTTCCCTGAGAGGAGAGGCAGGAAAACAGGGCCCAACTGAAGGCGAAGCGAGAAGGACCCGGATGTGACACCCACCGGCGCTGAGGACGTGGAGGCGCGGCCGCTCTCGCGATGTTTTACGGCAGGCGGCCTGTCGCTGGCGCCATCTTGGTTGCCCCCTGGACAAGCTTAGCAACGCCGGGCGAAAAAAAACAAGGTTTGTCCTTTCTGTTAAAGAGTGGTGCCTCATAAATCTACAACTCCCATCATTAATGAGTATTGAGAGCCTTGTCAGTGAAAGGGGTTTAAAGCAGCATGAATTCTACAGCGAAGGAGCGCCACACACAATATGGCGTCCAAAGGGTAACGCGCATGCGTCACGTGACCCCAAGAGCGTCGCTTCTGAAAAAACCCAACCAAAACATCCGGCGGAAGTTGGAAGGCTGATCTTTTCCCCTCCGACTCACGTTGGTTCCAAGATGGCGGCGCCCGGGAGCGTGGAGGAGATGCGGAGCCGAGTGGTTCTGGGCGAGTTCGGAGTCCGCAACGTAAGTCGGGAAGGGAGAAGGGGAAGCAGCAGCAGCGGGGAGGAAGGGGCACTTCCAGGAGGCCTGCCTTGGGCCCAGTCCCCGCCACAGCCACGCCAGGGAAGACAGCTGGTTCAGCTCACAGAGGGGCCACCAAGGAGGAGTCAGTGCCGCTTGGCGCCACTTTCACAGCTGGGGATCAATGCTGTGGCATCTTCCACTCTAAATCAGACCGGACAGGCGAAAGCTAAAGCAGGCCTGGGCCAACTTGGGCCCTCCAGGTGTTTTGGACTTCAACTCCCACCATTCCCAACAGCCTCAGGCTTGTTCTCCAAACGCTTGTTAATTTTAGTCGCCCTCCTCTGGACACATTCCAGCTTGTCAACCTCTCCCTTCAATTGCGGTGCCCAGAATTGGACACAGTCTTCCAGATGTGGTCTAACCAGGGAAGGAATAGAGGAGTAGCATGACTTCCCTGGGTCTAGACACTATACTCCTATTGATGCAGGCCAAAATCCCATTAGCTTTTTTTTGCCGCCGCATGACATTGTCGGCTCATATTTAACTTATTGTCCATGAGGACTCCAAGATCTTTTTCACACGTGTTGCTCTCGAGAATTTAATGGCCTTGTAGCTTCAGAAACCATATGCAAATTAGTAGATCAAGTGAGACCTACTAATTGGGCCCTCTAGGTCTTTTGGACTCCAAGATATCTTATTATTCATGTCAAAGCAAATACAGGTATTCCATAAACTGAAAGATCCCAAACCCAAAACATTTCTGATCTCAAGCAAGCGTTTTGGATAAGGGATACTCAACCTGTACAGTATAACTTTCAGTGCTCAGTTGGCCCCTTGTATCCACAAATTCAATTGTCTATGGCTTGAACTAGAGGGATTTTCCTAGCTCTGTCTCAGGCTGACCCTATGATTTTCTCTGCAATGTATATGTTCCAAGCATCACCTCTTCCCCTCTTTTTTCCAGGCCCACACAACAGACTTTCCCGGGAATTATTCTGGATATGATGATGCCTGGGATAGAACTAAGTTTGAAAAGGTGAGTGTACTTCTTCTTAGGTATCTTGAGAGGCTAGCATGATAGATCTTGATAGTAACCAGTAGAGATTTAGAACCTTTGTTTTGTTTCTAGAAATTGTTTTATCTATACAGTATATATTTGTTCAGCCAGTAGTACTGACATGTCTATTGTGAGGTGGAGGGATTTATGGTCCAGGTGTAAAAGATACAAGATAGATTTCAATTCAGCAGGGATTGATAATTGTTGTATCCTGCCTCAAGCTATGTGGAGAGGCAGGTAACAAGTACAATGCATTGTTGTTGTTGTTAAGTGCACTACACAAAGAAAATTCCCTTTGACTTTGGTATCTCTGGGGCCCACAAGCTAAATCTGGAGGATACATATGGCCTGGGAACTGCATTTTGCCCATTCCTGCTGTAGGATTCTCTTTTGCAGAAATACACCTAAAACAGACTGGAAGAAAGTAATTGATGTGAGGATTTGATTGTAAGCTGAATATATTTTTTCAGTGGTGTAGATTACTCAAACACATCCCTGATTGCGAAGTTTTTTTTTACTTCTTGTTCTTTTCCAGTGAATATATTTTATCCCTAAGACTACGCCTGTTTTGAAACTGTTTGTTTCTTACAGAATTTCAGAGTAGATATCATCAGCATGGATGAAAGCACACTGGAGTTTGACATGGTGGGGATTGATGCAGCAATTGCTAATGCTTTCCGACGCATCTTGCTTGCTGAGGTATTCATTAGATTAGTACAATGAGTAATAAGGCACTTTTGGGGCATTTCTCTGGGTTATGACTTAGTTGGCTGGGTGTGGCTGCAATTACCTTTTTACAAGTACAAGCTGGTCATTATGAGTTATTCCAGAAGTTTCCCTTAGAAGTAAATAAAATGTTGAAGAAATATTGAGAGAGATGTGTGGTACTGTTTCATTATCCTGATGGAGACCATTAATGTCATTATTTATTGTGCTTATTTTATATGGTTTATGTAGTGTGTTTATACAGTGTGTTTTGTTTATTGTTTATTTGTCTGGGTTGGGGATGATGTTGTACTCTTGTATTATGTAATTTCTGTTTTTTAACCATTTGTTTGCCACTTTGTGTCTCACCTGTGAGAGAAAAGCGGATAAAAATAAATAAATAAATAATAATGATAATTTCTGCTTATAATTTTTACTGCTTTAGACTAAACTTGGTGGAGTGTGCAAAATCCTAATTTGCAGTCATTTAACTATAAGTAAAGTCTTTACAATTATCAGTGGTACGTTCTAGATGGTTTAACCTTTTCTTGGTCAGACCTTCAGGAAATGCATGGCAAATATGTTAAATTGCCTAGTTTCCTTATGGAGGCTTGATATATTGCTTAGAAATAAGGGAGTTTTGCCTCTCCTAATATAGTAAAGTAAGACTTTGGATTTACACAGTAGATTTATATTTTAGATCTTCTCGATACATGGCATGAACAAATAGCATTATACCTTCAGAATCCCTAAACAGATTCAGCTGAAATAAAAAGATGTGTTTATTTATTGTAGACCGATGCTTTGCGATACTGTGGCTGAATATCTCTGCTTAGCAACAGATTTATTGTCTCTTCCTTAGGTACCAACAATGGCTGTTGAAAAGGTTTTTGTATATAATAACACCTCCATTGTGCAGGATGAAATTTTGGCTCATCGTTTAGGACTGATCCCTATCTGTGCAGATCCTCGTCTCTTTGAATATAAAAGTGAAGGTAAGATAGCCAGGAATGCATTTGTCGGGGACTAAAACTGACGAAGCTATGTGCTAAAAGAAGTTAATGCCAGAGCATAGGCTGTGTTTGGAGTTTTCAGTCTCTTTCTTTTCTTCTGCAGAGGATGAATGTGATGAAATTAACACTCTGCAATTCCAGCTGAAAATAAAATGTAGCAGGAACCTCGAGGCACCTAAGGAATCATCTGACCCAAATGAACTCTATATTAATCACAAAGGTAACACATTTGTTTTGGAGTAGTTGTCCTATTCTGCTGTTTCTTGAGCACTGATTTTAGACACCCAGTGTCTCAGTTCAGTCAGTTTTTCCATTTCTGAATCTTTATGGTGTTTGTTGCAGCAAGTTGCTGTCCACAGTTGCTACTTTGCTTTGATTGGTGATGGAGAATGGGGCCATGGTTTATTCAGCTGTCTGCTTAGTAACAAATGTTTTTTCCCGTGCCCTTTTTTATCTTTACAGTTTACAGCAAGCACATGGAATGGGTGCCACTGGGGTCTCAGGCAGACAACATGAATGCTGGCTTCCGTCCTGTTCATGATGACATCCTTATTGCTCAGCTGCGGCCTGGCCAAGAGATTGATGTCCTTATGCACTGTGTAAAGGGCATTGGTGAGGTGGCCAACACTCCTCTAACATTGTGGGATGTGGGCAAAACAATGCTGGAGTTTTGTTTTCATTTACAAAATTTGGGGCTGCAATTTTCCTGCTTGCTTTTGGACTACAGTGATCTAGAAGAATTTTTGCTGAGATTCTTTTCACAAGGGTTTTTATTTTATTAATATTTCTCTGTATTTAAGCTCTGTGCCTCTACTGTACTGCTTTTTAAACTATAGGTCCTGACCCCAAATGAACTCAATTTTGGGGTCTTGAAAAATTTGGCAACAGTAAAAGGTTTTCTGAATGTCATCTAGTGGCTGTTTCAGACATTTATATGAACCTGTAATGTACAGTGTTTATTATTTATAAGTTATTATCATGAGTCCCTTTGGGGAGATAGAGCGGAATATAAATAATAATAATTATTATTATTATTTGCTCAGCCATGATATTTATTTCCTTAGCCATCATAGCTTTTAATCATTTTTATAATGTCTGATTGTATGTTTATTGATATTTGATATTGCTTGTTTTTCGATGCTTATTTTAACCTGTTTTGTTGGGCATGTCCCTTTGTAAGCCACCCCAAGTCCCTTCAGGGAGATGGAGGCGAGGTATAAAAATAAAGTTATTATTATTTATTTTATTTTATTATTTGCGATATTTCTATACCGGCCCTCTCAACCCTGAAGAGGACTCGGGGCGGTTCACAGTGTTGGCAACAGTGTTTACAGTGGACTCTGCAGAAGATAGTTCAGCTGTACTTAGTAAAAAAGAATATCAGCCTCTTTATCAAGCTGATTTGTTATCAGTAATTATTTGATTTCTATACCTATGTTTTAATTATCTATATGCCTGGGGTCATGTAAAAATTTCTCATGCAAAAAGGGGTTGCTAGTGGAAAAAGAAGCCCTGCCATAGATGACTAACAAATGTGTGTTAAATAGCAAACATCATTGGGTGCAGTCCTGTGTGACTCAGTGTAGTGTTGTAGCTCCACCTGTGGTTCAGCAACCATATACCCCCCCCCCCCAGCTTTATCTGTACAGCCTTAGAGAACCCCAATCCTGTGGCCCTTCTGTCCTCATGGGCCAGATCAGAGAAGCACCTGGCAGTGTCCCAGTGGCCAGACATGAAATGAGTATATCAGCTTTTAGGTCCACAAGGTTCTAATTGCTAGTCGTTTTGCATTTGGGTTTGGGTTATGTTCCTGCATGTTTTCCTATCCTACCCAGTCCCCATGAGGAATAGCTGTGGAAAGCTATATGGCAAATTGGAGGCCAGGAGTTGGGCACTGTCCAGGGAAGAAGGGAATGCCAACCTCTTTTTTTCATGTCAGGGGCGACTTGAGAAACTGCAAGTTGCTTCTGGTGGGAGAGAATTGGCCGTCTGAAAGGACGTTACCCAGGGGATGCCCGGATGTTTTGATGTTTTACCATCCTTGTGGGAGGCTTCTCTCATGTCCCCGCATGGGGAGCTGGAGCTGACAGAGGGAGCTCATCCGCTCTCTCCCCAGATTCAAACCTCCGACCTATCGGTCTTCAGTCTTGCCAGCACAAGGGTTTAACCCATTGCACCACCAGGGGCTCCATGCCAATCTCTGTAGGACCCCAAATGCACAGGCCAAAGAGGCATACCTGCCCTTTTGTGTCGTAACAGGATGCTAGATCATTTGTGGCAGTAAAACTGAATTTTATTGTTCTTCTGAAGAGGACTGACTGCAAAATAATAATAATAATTATCAAGTGCCACAAATCTCTCCTTGTTTCTAGTTTTTGTTTGCTGCTTCTATCCTACTCAGCAGCCCCAATTTTAATTGTTTTTATTAATTTGGGTTTTTGACAATAGGTAAAGACCATGCAAAGTTTTCTCCGGTGGCCACAGCCAGCTACCGCCTGTTGCCAGATATTACTCTGTTGAAGCCTGTTGAAGGGGAAACAGCTGAGAAACTAAAGAAGTGCTTTTCACCTGGGGTTATTGAAGTTGAGGAAATAAAAGGTATTTTGTACTAACTTCCTTTAAACTTTATCAATCACAGATCTTGTTTACTGGAGGCAGGGGTCCCATTTGTAGAATATACAGGCATACGTCAGTCTTGTTGATTCCCAGGCGTTGAAAGGGAACATTTTCCCACATTTGTGGGAGTCCTGCACTTTTAAATCCCAGGAATGTAGAGGGCCAAGTAGCCTAGAAAATAGTCATTGGAGTATTATGGAAGTATTGGTTGCGGCTCCATAGGGAGACATGACATGATTACATTCTCTTCTGAGCCTTTTGGAGGATTGTAGTGGATTGCAGCACAAAATGGAGTCATTTCATATCTAGTTATAGCTCAGGCATGGGCAAATTGTAGTCCTCCAGGTGTCTTGGATTTCAACTCCCACAATTCCTAACAGCTGATGGCAGTTGAAGTCCAAAACACCTGGAGGGCCGAAGTTTGCCCTCCCCCAAAGCAGGTTTTTCTTTTTCATGAAACTATATTTTTCATTTTGGATGTAGCAGTGACTGGTGAATGATTGTATTGCAGTTAAAGATTGGGAAGATTCCATAAACCTCTTAATTATTTTGGATCTCAACTGTTGATCTCTTTCTCTAGGGAAAAAAATAGCAAGAGTGGCTAATGCTCGACTGGACACGTTTAGTAGAGAAATTTTTCGTCATGATGACTTGAAAAACCTTGTGCGTTTGGCTCGAGTACGAGATCATTACATTTGTGAGTAACCTTTTAAATGCTTGTTTCTTTTGATAGTTCTTGAAGTTCACTGTGTGATTGCTTATGTTACGATCACTGATGTATATGTAATGCTTCAAATTTTGTGTGTCAACGAACTAAGAGTGGTTTCTCATGCTTTTAAAGCTATAAAATGGTAAAGGTTTCCCCTGAAATTGAGTCTAGTTGTGTCTGACTCTGGGGGGTGGTGCTCATTTCCATTGGCATTGTCCATAGACACCTCCAAAGTCATGTGGCCAGCATGACTGCATGGAGCGCTATTACCTTCCCCCAGAAGCTATAGCTTTGCATAAAAGCTTATTGACTCTAAATGAGTGTAGACGCTTGTTAAAATGATCAGTTAACTTTATTTGTACTCATAGTTTGTTTTGAAACTTTAGCTACTTTTACAGTCAGATGTAATCTACAAAGAGAGGATGATGCTTGCTTTTGGGTGGTTATACAATTGTGAAAGTGTACAGATGTACAAAAAAGTGAGTTGCTCTCTTACCCCATTACAAACTAGTATTGCTCGGAATGTTTTGGGATAAAATACATTTGTTATTTTTAATGCTTAATGAGAAGTTTCAAGTACATATCTTGTTTGTTTTTTGGTGATAGCTAAGGACCATCCTCCTGTGTTTGTGTGAGTGCATATATATTCTAGATAAAACAATGGATCATAGTTAGAAGAACCCAATCTTTGGGAAAGTTGGCTGTTTTTGTCTTATTTGTAAAATATTATGCACAGTCGCATCACTATGTAATACTTAAACAACAACAGAAGTCTCTTTTTTTAGTCTCTGTAGAGTCAACAGGAGTCCTACCTCCAGATGTATTGGTGAGTGAAGCAATTAAGATATTGATTGGTAAATGTCAGCATTTTTTGGAGGAACTGAAGTCTATCCAGAAGAAATAATTTTAAGGGCACAAAACTCACCGGAAAAGTCTTAGTTGAACATTCTATAGCTGCATTTTGAGAAAGAACTCCAGTCAAATCTTTACCAGCTGGTACATCGACAGGAGATGTGAAAGACTGATATCCGTTCCACCTGTACTTACTACTACTTAGTAGTCGATGGCTGAAATGTAACATCATCATGGAACTTTTTGCAAAGACCAGAATGTATTCATTTGGAAATTTTATCTTTTGACAAATATCCCACATGACGTGAAAATATTGTGAGGAAATTGAGGTGCAAGCTGCTAATAATAAACTCCTGTCTGTTTATGTCTGCCTTGAGGACTATGAAAAAGCTGGATCATAGACCCAACTTGTAGGGTGAACTGTGCTGCATAGTTCCTTAACATGAGCCTTCAGATATGTATGGCCTGGATCATAACCACATTGCTAGAAAGTAAAGTCTAACAACACAGTACTTTTCTTGTGCTAGTTAACAAAGCGGTATCGTTCACTTATTGTGAATGTCCATTCATACTTGCAAAGAAACTATCTATGAATATGTTCCTCTGTGAAGGAAGACATCCAAGAATAGAATTTACCCCAACCACCTAAGAAGGTGGGTAGGACTTCTCATGTGGGGGACTGATAATTCCCCCCTGTAATCTGTTAGTGCCACAATTCTGCTCATCAGCTACAATCATTTCCATCATTCATGGAAGTGTCACTCCCCAACACACACATACTGATAGCTGGGCTGGCATTGGTCTATGGAGCCGCCACATTGTATTCTGTAGTGCTGCTGAAGTCTAGACTGCTATTGATCTGTCTGTCCCTCAGAGTGGTTGCTGGCAGGAGAAAAGGATTTTCTGCTTGTTTAACAGAAATTTGTGGCACATTGTACCAGTGTGATGAAAGATTCAGTAATCAGTAGTTTCCCAATTTCTCCCAGACCATGCATAGATGTATAGATTCCTGTAATTTTTCCAATTTCTGAAATTACAGTTCGTTTTCTGGTTTTTTGGTTTTTTTTGCACAATCAGACACAGATGTGATAATTTCTTTCCAGTTTAATATCTTTCAGTTTACTCTGGCAGGAAGATGTTAATGTACTCTTTTCGCATAAACAGCTGAAGATTCTCCTGTTACAAAATACATTAGAGTACTACTTTTTTTAAGTGGGAAAGAACTTGTACAATGTACTGGTTTTGTGATTTATCTTCATTGTTGTTTTTTTGTGTGCTTTATATTGGTTACGATTTTAATTCATTTTAAATTTATCTATTGTATTTGTAAATGTTTATGTGCCTTTTAACTATTGTAAGTCTTGAATTTTAAACCAAATGTATATTTTTAAAACAAGCAGCTTATTTATCAAGAGATCAAGCTCCTCTACAAAAAGAATTCCTTCCATTTCCATATTTCAGAAAGGAAGCAAAATAATTCTTCAAATTCATAATTTGTCAGTCATTTACAAATTATCCCTAGTCCTCAAGGAGCCTGGTGTGTGCATATGCAGGAACACCAAGGCAAAGCCTTTTTGGCAGATGGCCATCCAGCCTCCAGGTAAGGAGATTCCACCACTCTCCCAGGTGGCATATTTCACTGTTGAACAACTTTTACTGTCAGGATATTCTTCCTAACATTTAGGTGGAATCTTTTTTCCTGTCACTTAAATCTATTGCTCCATGTTCTACTCTCCAGAGAAGCAGTTCCCAAATTAAGGCCCGTAGAATGAATCCAACCTGCCACGGTCTTTTCCCCAGCCCCTACCACTACCATCATGCACTTATGGTACATGAATGTGGTAGCGGCAGTGGCGAGTGTGCAGTGAGAGCAAGTTCGTGTGTGGTGGTGGCAGGGTGTGTGCGGTGCGTTCGCCAAACAGTGCGTGCGCAGACACCTATCCACAATTAAAGTCTGCCCCTTCCCCCAACAGTCTGAGGAACTGGCCCTCCATGTAAAAAGTTTGATTTTGATGCTCTAGAGCAGGGGTCCCCAATCCTGTTCCCTTCTCAATGTGACATCATGTCTCCTTTTAGCCATCTTGTCTGCAAACTAAAAATACCTAGCTTCCTCAGTCATATGGCTTGGTTTCCAAACCTGTGATTATTTGGGTCTTCTTTGTTGGGATTCAACCCCACACTGCCCTAGTTTCAAGTCCTCAATGAGGAACGGGTTAACTTGGAATAGGCTGAAGGTTTACCTTCCCCCATGTCTCCTGTATGAGAGTTGGGAAATACCAATCACTACATCTCTGTGACACACACACACACACAGCACACACCAAGGGATAAAGAGCCAAAGTCAAAAATTAAACCTTGCAGTAGAAAAGTATCCATTCTACACAACCAATCAGAATGAGAGCAGAAACAGAGAGAAGAAATAGATACATGTTTCCCTCTCTTGAAACCTTAGAAGATTTGGGTGTTAAGAGTAGCTCAGACCCAATTTTTTACCATTAAGAAATGCAGTTATTATTTTTGTAAATAAACCTTTTGTGTTTTTTAAGATTGGACTCTGCATGTTTGCCTCCTAAGCTCTAAATTCTTTATAGCCACATCACACGTCACTTTTATGCTCTGCTTGCTGTGGGCTGATCCTCAACTTTTAGTATTTTGAATGCTCTGCTTTGTTTTGGGTAGTTTTCCCTAACACCCTTTCCCTGGACACATTCCAGCTTGTTCCTATCTTCCTTGAATTGTGTTGCCCAGAACTGGGCACAGTATTATTCCAGGTAAGGTCTGACCAAAGCAGAATAGAGTGGGACTATGACACTATGCACTTACTGATGCAGCCTAGAATTGGATTTGGCTTTTTAAGCTGCTTGTCTTGAGATATTCCAACAAAAACAACCAGGCCATGAAAGACGTTACACAGTCTAAATAGATTTTCCACGACAATTCTAATTTAAATGTTTCGCCCTAGATAACTGACATCTTTGCCACCAAAACAGATACAATGGTGGCTGTTGGATAAAAGTACTGGCGGGCGTTAAAAACTGCTTGGCAAGACAGAATGAGATCAGGAACAAGACAAATGTATAAAATGGTAAGATCTTTACTGACATTCAGAGGCATGTCACAATTGATTGGAAGACATCTTCAGATACAATGTCCCTACAAATACCCTCAAATTACTTCAAATGCTTCTATCATGGGCACAGAAAAATAGAACCGAGACACAATAAATACTGTTAGACTAGACTCCAACCCTATTGCTGTGGGAGGTGTGTTGTACTAAATGTTACACTGAGATGGAAGACTTAGAGGGAAACAGCATAAAAGTCTTGAGTGAAGGTAAACTACTACCAAGGACCTGAACATCTTAAGGCCTACATTCTCCAAACTTTCCTGTTCATGGCATCAGACTTTAAAGTAATTTACATCACATCTCTCTTCAGTTAATTATTTTGTGGCTTCAGTTAGGCTGCTATAAGGATTGTTACATAAAGATGTTCTAATTAGGAGTGAAAAACTGATTTCTTCATATTCAATTTTTCCAAATCTAAACAGGCTAAAGAATCCTAAGCTACAGATACAGACTGAAACTACTGTCAAGCCTTCTTTACAAATGCTTTTTCCCTCACCAGACCCTATGGTCGCAGCTCCCCTTTCAAGTGTAGCACTTTAGCTTAATTACTTCAATGGAGCACAGACTACTCCCAGGCTGTTGCCATCTAGAACATTCGGGCACGAGGCACCTGAGGCCAGTTTTGATAATATTTGTAGGAGAAAGGAGGGCACATTATTTCACTTTAGACTTCCTGAGGTATAGTTGAGCCAAAGTGGCAAGATAAGCGTTTCCCCTTGGTTTGATGGAATACATGACAAAGTCAGTGGAGAATAGGGAGTTGCAATGTTCAGTCCGGTGATGCTGTGCCTTCCAAAAGGGGAAATGGAGGGGGGTTCCTCTCATAGTGTCATACTGAGGCTACCACAGTGTAAGGTAGTGACAGGCATAAAAGGGATGGAAGAGCAGGCTCCCTTCACTAAGGAAGCAGCAACTGCACATAGGAAACCTTATTTCTAAGAGAATTAGTCTGGTGATGAGACTGAATGGCTGGCTGCATCCAATGGAAAACCAACTGTGGAATTGGGCTGTGAGTGGAGCTGCAAAAATGAGACAGATGACATTTAGTAGAATGAACTGTTTTCTGTTCACATTCCATCTCCTAAACAGAAAGGGACAAAGCCCAAAAAAGCCAGATCCAGGCTCGGGAAGTGATCAGAAAGTAAACAAATGACTGAAAAAATACGGAATACAAAAGGAAAAGAGGCCGGGGAAAATGTCCTAATCTTATGGCTCAAACAGTGTGATGAGTACTCCATCTTCACTGCTCTCCAAGGTGTCTGCTTCTAGAGATGGTTTTACCTTCTGGAAAAGTGACGGCAGGTTTCTGATGTGAACTTCCTTCCTAAACTGTTCTCCTAGCGGCTTCTGCAAGGGATACAATGAGAAATATAAATTAGACAAGGAGGCCAGTTGAAGAGTCTCTGATTTAAAAGGAAGAATTACTCCCATGTCAGATAATATTTCTCTGTTCCTGGGATGGAGCCAGCTCAACACCATGGAAAAACAATGGGGAAAACCCCAATCGAGTAAGTGTTAAAGCACTTTTAAGGCCAAGAAGCATCTTCCCTGAAGTTATTTTGAGACAGAATTAAGATTACCTCTACCCAGAAACAAATTACACAACACCCAATTCTTTAGCGACCTAACAGGCAGCAAAGAGACAGCTATCTACCACTGCAGCAGCTGCCAGGAAAGGAAGAGCTTGATTTTTCCTGATACCAAGACTCACCTCTATGCAGCCTGCAATCAGGCGTTTGAAATGGTCCTTTCGGCGCTTATCAGCCATTTTCTGCAATGTTACGTTGAGGAGCTTGGAATCAAACTGCTCCAGGGACTCTTTCTGGATTTCTGGAACTTCTTCCAACACTGTCTTTAGCTCAACATAGCGTGGACGCTGGAATTATTGGGGTGGGGGGGGGGGGGGGGGGGAAGGGGGGGGGAGACGTCAAAGGCGAACTGAGGCAGACACTGAAATGCTACTGCCCAAAGGAAAATTAACAACCTCCTCCCAATCAAAAAAGAAATCTCTGTGGATTTGACATACTAATAAATATCAAGGACAGCAGGGAAGCTTGGAACCCTTGTTCCTTGTCCCTCCTTACCAAGGCCTCATAGATCTGGAAAGCCAAGTGGACAAGAGCTGCCATACAACCATCGTGTTGTCCATGCACCTCCAAGCCTTTTAATACGCTTTTAAAAAACCAGATTACTGCTTCAGGGATCATTGCGTTTCCTGTGAATACCTATGGCAGAGAAGCAAGAGGATATAAACCCAGTGAATGAGTAAAAACAATTAGTTATATTTATTTTCCCAGTAAAAAAGATTTCTTAAACTCAACTCTGACTAAATAAGGAGTGGGCAAAATGCGGTTCTCTAGATCAGCAGTTTCCAGGCTTTGGCCATGAAAGCATCATAGGGATTTGGCGAAAAATCTATACAATCTTTTTTAAAAGTCCATGCCAGACTAATAATATTTATTATTTTATTTTTATATCCCACCACCATCTCCCCAAAGGGACTCAGGGTGGCTTACAAGCAGGACCAAACCCAGCAACAACAGAATTTACTAACTAAAACACATTTAAAATCATAATAAACAAAGAACAATCTAATTAAATAATTAAAAACAACAGAGTATAAAAATCATTAAAATGAATCAAAGCAAGTCTCAACAACCATTATTATTATAGAGGTGAATCAGGCTTTTTAGCTCATGTTTGCACCAAAAACAAATTGAGGAGTAAGCTGGATGCTGCCCCAGGTTTGCGTATTCAGTTGTACCAAACTAAAATTTTGTAGTTATGTTTAAAATATTTTCTCTTTATTTCCAACCCTACTACGTTATACAAAACACTCAGGCAATGGGAGTGGATGAACACAGGAAGAACTTTGTGGGGACAGACTTAGTTCCGCAGGAAAATCAGGATCAGAGTTCAGTTTGTGCGGGAAAAATATCTTTGAAAAGTCTTCTGAGAGGTTCCATGTCCAAAAAAGTTTGGGAACCGCTGCTCTAGATGTTAATGGACCACAGATTCTAGTGTACCATGCTGTTGGCCATGGTGCTTAGGATGTACAATTCAGAAATAGTTTGCCTTTTATCCAGCCTGCGCTAAAGGGACAGCTAAGCACTTAGTACCTGTTTCAGGAGTGGCCAGCAGAGATGTGTGGTGGTTCTTTGGCAGGACAGGGTATCCTTCCAGGAAAGCGATGTGAAGGCTGTAATAAGCAGAGCAGTGCAAACATTCTGGAGAAAGAAAGGGAAG